TTCCTACAGTACACTCATGGCCACCTGAAGCCTCGCTGCCTCCCTCCCCAGGCCAGTGTTCAGGTGGAGAAATCAGGGCTCAAATCTGTGAGAGTCAGGAGGTCTGGGCTCTCCCTATGGTATCACCAGGGGCACACTGTGTGGCCTTGGACAAACCACAACTCCTCTCTGGACCTCAGTCTTCCCATCTGGGAAATGAGAAAGGGGTCAGATGCTCTAACCTCTACTCTGATTTCAACATTCTTTGAGTGGCCAGTTACCCCAGATTTATCCCAGGCAGAAATGGGGGCTGGGCTGGCCAGGGGAGCCCTGTGCTGTGACCCCACCTCCTCAGAAGGTAATGATGGAGGTTCTCTGCCCATGGCACTGCTCGCCTTCCATTCTCCGCCAGCCCTGCGTGAGGAAGTGGAAGCTCGGAGAGGTGAAGGGACCGGCCCAAGGGCACATGTGTGTGCAGATGGGACGTGAACCCTGTCTGCCCGAGTCTGAATCTCCTCCTTCCTCTGTCACACCACACTCAGCAGCGGGGTGCATCATCCTCCTATAAGGAAACCAAGGTCCAGAGAAGGTGTGTGACTGGCTCAAGGTCACAGAGTAAGAAAGAAGCAGGTCTTTGATTCACGTTTCTGACCCTGGGCCCACAGCCATTGACTCAGGGGCCTGCCAGGCAGCCCAGCCCTGGGAAGATGAACACCACACAGTGCTCCCCAAATCTGTGTCCACCCCAATCACCACCCACCCTGCCTTCTCCTGACCCAGTTCACTTTGAACTCTGGGAAGACTTCCCAGGGATCTCGCCATCACCTGGAATTCTCAGGCACCCTGGGCACCCTTCCTTAATGCCCTAAGTCCATTGCCAGGATATTTGTCCTCACCGCCAGACCGCTCAGGTGAGGTGGGCACTAATTTGCAGATGGGGCAATCCCAGCTCTTCAGGGAAAGTCACTTGACAGTAAGAGTCGGGTTTTGAACCCCAGAATTCTGTCTCCAGAGCCTTCACTCTAGGAGCTAATGCCTGGGGATATTTGTCCTCCTGAAGTCCCTCCCCTGCTCTAATCCCTTCCTTGGCTCCCCATCACCCTCACCGGGGCTCTCAATTTGGCTGCCCATCAGCCTGCCCCCAGATGCTTGTTAAACCTGCCAGTTCCCAGGCCCCCCAGCCCTGGCCTGCTGGGTCACAGTGGCCAGGTGGGGCCTGGAGATATGTATTTCAATTCCCATGGGTAGGCCCAATGTCTGACTCGGCTTGGGTGCCTGAGGCAGCTTACAGGTGTCTGGGGCGTGGAGGGTGCTTGGAGTCTTCTTTGGGGAGGAGACTGGAAGGAATTGGGGGAAGATAAGGTAGGCCAGAAATGAGGTAGCATTGTCCTCCCTTCCAAGGGGCCAGGCTGGGCAGTGGTTAAAATGGGAGTGTTATTCAGCTGGCCCGGCTGGACTCCTGTGTAAGCTCGGGCCCGCGGCTCCCCCTTGCAGGGCTGTGGGTCCCCGCGTGTCGCACGGGGAGGTAATGATCACGCTGACCCCACCGGCCGCGGGGGGATCTTGATGGGTTCACATATCCGTGTCAGTCCTGCCTCGAACGAGTGTCCGAGAACCCCTGCAGGGGCCCAGTTGCTGGCGCTGTGGAGTGGCAGTACCTCGGGGCTGCGAGCGGGAGTGCAGGGCCCCGCCGCTTCTGGGGGGCCCAGGCACCTCTAGCAGGAGAACGGAGAAGCAAACTCTGGTGTGCTCGCAGAACAGAGCAGTAGACAGCAAAGCAGAGCGCCCTCGAGAGCACACGGAGCTCCTCCCTCGTGCTGGACGTCAGGACCGTGGTTGCCCTCGATGGGCAATGACTTGGAGGGGACACCAGGGGCTTCTGGGGCCCTCAGTCAGTAAATACGCATGGAGCTGTAACTTAGGATCCGGGTCCTTCTCCGTATGTGCTTTCTAGTTGAATAAAAAGCTGATTTTTAAAAAGTGGTGTGGTTGAGTCACCTGGCTCAGCGGCTGAAATCATCAGGATGAACACTGTAAGGGTAGGGGCCCTGAGGTTATGGGGTGAATGAGACAAACACCGTCCCTCCTCCCCATCTCACCAGGCATCGATTCCGGGCCCCCGGCAGGAGACAGGCCCACAAATACCCGGAAACAAAGCGACAGACATACACGTCACAGACTCCAACAGAGGGAATCCCAGGGGGCTGTGGGTCACAGCCGGCTTGGGGGTCAGGAAGGCTTCCTGGGGGGGGCGTGCCTGAGCCAGTACCTGCAGAAGGATGGCCAACAAAAGCCAAAGTCTCTAAGTCCATATAGTAACCTGTAGGCTCCCATCACCTCCTCGGCCACCTGGGCCCTGCTGCCCTTCCCTCTGCCTTGTGGGCCCTTCCCCAGACATCCCCCTGGCCCACTCCCTCTCTACACGCGGGTCAAGGGCATGCCTGCTCCAATGTGAGGCTTCCTCTGACCAGCATATTGAAAGTTGCACCCACCCCTGCTTTATTCTTGCCGTTAGCCTCTGCCTTACTGTGTCGTGGGTTTATCCCGTCCCTCCTCCAGAGCCGCGCTGTCCAATAGGACAACTGAGCGCTTGAAATGTGGTGAGTCTAAATTCGGTGTGCTGTCAGTAGATTTTGCAGACATGAGAAAAAGAATATGAGTCGTCTCAATAATTATATATCGATTAAAGGTTAAATGATAATATTTCGGTTATATTGAGTTAAATAAACCGTACTATTAGAATGAATTCACTCGTCTCTGTTTACCTTTTTAAAAAGTATGGCTACTAGAACACGTGCGTTTGCAACGTAGCTCTATTGGTCATCTCCTTCAGGGTCGGGGTCGTTCCTTCCATTTACTGCTGTACCCCCAGCACCCAGCAAGCCACAGGTCCTCCATAAATGCCTGCTAAAGGGTGTATGAATGAAGGTTGCAACGGATGGCTGATGGATGAATGAATGAATTTCTCTCCACCGTCATTGGCACCAGCCTCAGGAAGGGGAAAAGAGTACCTGTTCTGGAGCCTGGGGGACACTGGGTCTTGGGAGGTGGGGGTGGAGTTGGTGCCCCTCCCCCAGGTTGGCTCAGAGTTCCTCTCTTCAGGCCCCATGGCCATCCCCATGCCAGGCCTGGGGTAGGGGGTGGCCAAGGGTCTCCCTTTCTTCTCTCCTTGGGGTAGGTGGGAGGCGGGATAGATTCTGTGCCATCCGGGCGGCCCTTGGGGAACCCTGGAGGGAGACTCCGTAGGTGAACGCTCCGCCCTGCTCCCAGCTCTGAGAGGAGGTGGCTGTCTCTGCAGCCCCACACCTTCCCTCCTGCCCCTGGGCACTAGCCCCAGCCCCCAGCCCCTCCCGCTTTCCTCTCCCCCTAGAAGGAAGGCTTAGCCCAGGCCCGCAGGACAAACCACAATTTGCTTCTGACATAACACACTGACGGATTTCTGGCGGCTGTGCCCCCCTTTGTGTCCCCAGAGCTGTTGTGGGCATATAAGGGCTGCCCCCAGGCCCAAGAGGGTAGAGGAGCTGGCAAGAGGCTGGGAACCTCCACCCACCCCTCGTGGAGCTGCAGGTGTGGGTAAGGCAGCCTGTGGCAGCCCCAGCCTCATCCAGACCCCCAACCATTGACCCGGCGACCATCCTGCTGTCCCATCTGAATAACGGACACGGAAAGTGTCCGTTCACCCTAGGAGGGCACTGGGGCTCCCTGGAGGGTGATGGGAGAACAATCCCATTTTACTGATGGGAAAACTGGGGCTCAACCAGGGGCAAAGGCAGGGATGGGTGGGCTGAGGACAGAACCATCCTATGGACAGGACTCAAGGGATGCCCATGTTTCTTTAAGCCCTAGAAACCAACTGGTTTCCCACTGTGGGAGTATTTCCTTCTGTAAGGGACCCCGAGGTTACAGGGAGCCGCTCTGGGACAAGTCTTGAAGAAAGAAGACAGACACTGCCGAGATTGCTACCGGTGCATATGGCATCCATATGTACCTTCGTGCAAGTGAGGAAAGGTGCCCTCCTGGGCAGACACATCCTGTGCCAGGGCAAATGGTTGGCTAGTGAAGCGCAGCTGGATTTCCATCAGCTCTTGCCCCCTCAGCAAGTACCCATCCAGCACACAATCATGCATGGAGGCCCTAGACACAGTCCCTGACCTCGTGGAACTTACAGAGATGGCAAACAAAGACACAAACACATAATGCATAATTGTAAATTGTGATAGCACCTTAAAATAAATATTCTGAGTGATGTCTAGTGACAAACAGGCTTCTTTAGACAAAGTAAAGGAGGGAGGCCTTTCCAAGCTCGCAACGTTTATTCAGAACCTGGGATGAGGAGCCAGTCATGCAAAGAACCAGGGGAAGAGCCTTCCTAACAGAAAGACCAGCATGTGCAAAGGCCCTGAGTTGGAAAGGGGCTTGGCATGTTTAAGACCAAGGAGATCGAAGAGGCAGACAGGGACCTAGTCGGTCATGGCAAGAAGCCTGGGTTTTACCCCAAAGGCAGTGGGGAGCAGGGTTTAAGCAGAGGTTACACAAGGGGTTAGATGGGTATGGGACTGCATTGGCAGGTGCTCCATAAAGATAAGTCCCATCCTGTGAAACTAGTAAGTTAGCCATGCTCTCACCTTCCATCTCATTCCTTCCAACATAGAGACCAGGGAAGAGAGAAATGGGACATGTTAAGTAGCGGGTCCCCAATCAGCCACACCTTCTGAAACAGCCTCATAAGCCAATGGGAAAGCAGGGCCAGGAAACGAAGCTCCCATGCTGCCGTCCTGGGAAGGAAGGTCCCTCTGTCACTCTCCCTCAGAGACCCAGCATTCACCAGGGACGCAGAGGAATAAGACTTTCAAGTCAGGCACATCGGCCGCGGCTCTCCTGGGAGTGAGGCCGGACAGAGCCGGGCCAGGTGGGCGGGAGGGCCCCAGGCTGGTGATGGGGCCCAGGGGTCAGGCGAAGACTTGGGCACGAGGGGTGCCTCAGAGGTCCTGCTTTTGCCCCCGATAGGTGTGCCATCGAGGATGTTGGGCATGTGGTCCTTGCTTCTCCTCTGGGGGCTGGTGACTCCGTGCCAGGGGCTGCTTGAGAAGGTGGGCACGCTTGCTCGGATTGACAAGGATGAACTTGGCAAAGGTGAGCCTGAGGTGGGCAGTCCGGAGGGGCCCGGCTGCCGTGTAGATGTCTGCACTGATATGCCCAGGGTGGCGGCTCTAAGGAAGCGCTGGGAACAGGCTGTGATTTTCATCTACTCAGAGAGCTCGGGGGCTAAAGGTTTGCTTGCGGGATCCCATGGGTGATCAGTTCGCCTTCTCTTGAGAGGTGGACTGCGTGAGGCGGGCTTCGGCCCTGTGGGGGCTGCGTCTGCCTCGGGGATGGGGCCGGGTGGGATGGAGGAGGTGGAGAGGAGGGGGTTGGCTGAGTAGGGCAGTCGTGAATAGGAAATGCTTCAAGGAATCAACCTGGCCTCCTCCATCTTGGTCAAGCCCTGGTGACTGTGGCCTCCCTCCTTTGCTTCTGCCCTTTCTTTTGGTGCTACAGGGTGGCCCAGAGTCAAGGAGCTCTAGTCATAGAGGGTTTGGCCCCAAACCCGATTTGCTGTGCGACTTCGGGCAAGTCTCTGTCCTTCTCTGGGCCCTACTTCCCTCTTCTGTAAAATGAACCTTCTTCCCTCAACCCTCCCTGTAGCCATTCAGAACTCGCTGGTTGGGGGGCCTATTCTGCAGAACGTCCTGGGGACAGTCACATCTGTGAACCAGGGCCTTCTGGGCTCTGGGGGACTGCTCGGAGGAGGCGGCCTGCTGAGCTATGGAGGAGTTTTTGGCGTTGTGGAAGACCTTTCTGGGTGAGTCCTCACAGTACGGCATCTCAACTGCCCACCTACTATGAGCCCTACAGGAATGTTAGTCCTTTCTTTGCTTCAGGGAAGAGAGAAGAGAGTGACTGTCTTCAATTTGTTGGCAGGCAATGGGGGTAATGGAGGAAGCAAGCCCTGGATAGGGAGTCCCAGGGCCTGAGTCGGAAAATAATGAGTCCACTGTGTATAAGGAAACAGGAATAGCAGCATGTCCCTGTGGTTGAGGGTTCCAGTTCTGGGCCTGACTCTAGTTACTCACTGGGTGACCTAAGGCAAGTTGCTCAGTCTCTCTGGGCCAATCCAGGTATCTGCTTCATCTCCTTTGGGTGTCTACTGCAAAGAGCCCTGCTCTGACCAACCCCTTTTTGTTCCCTCCCCTGCTTTCAAGTTCTCCAGAAGATGTATCACTGCCCCGCACCCCATATGCTTTACTGGTTTGTTTCTTGCCTCCCCTGCTAGGTTATAAACCCCAGGAAGGGCAGGGCTTCTGTTTGGCTTGTTTATTGCCATATCCCCAATATCATTAATAGTGCTTGATATATAATGAATGTTTGAAAAATATTTCTGAATGAATGAATGAAGTCACATAATAGCTAATATTTATAACTTAATTACCACCCAGCCAGGGTTTTCTGTGTAACTAGCACTGTGCTGAACACAGTAAATTAATTATCCCGTGGAATCTAGAGGTAGGACTGTTATCAATGGCATTTAACAGGTGAAATTGAGGCCCCCGGGAGCCAAGGGTCCTGTCCAAGCTCATCCAGCCAGAGTGGTGGTGGTGGGGCGCTGTGGGTGTTAGTCACAGGCCTCACCTGCCTGCCCCAGGTGGGTGGGAACCATTCCATGCGTGGTGGTGAATCGGGGCAAGGTCAATCTGGATAGCTGGGAGGCATCAGCTAGCTGAAGGTGGATGCAGAGTGGAAGGAAAGTCAAGGGAAAGGTGTTCCAGACAGAGGGAACAGCCTGGGCAAAGGCCCAGAGGACAGAGAAAGCAATGAGCTCTGGGGAGCTGTGTTTGAGAACCCAGCTGAGTTTCATGCGCATGAGCCTGGGGGGTGGGAGTGGGGAGACAATGATCCAGGCCAGAGCCTGAACCAGGATGGAGGCCATGGAGATGGGGTGAGGAGAACACTTTAATTCGCTGAGCCTCCAATGAGGACGATATTACATTTATTGAACACATGCTGTACCAGCTTCAGCAACCACATTTATCTCACCTGTCTTTGCAATGTTTGAGGTGGGTACTAGTATTGGCGCACTTTATAGATGAAGAGACTGAGGCCCAGTGAGGTGAAGTAATTGGGCCCACAGTTGACTTTATGGGTTACAGACGGCATGTGGGACACAGTCCAGAGAGGCTCTAGGCACCACCTGGTCTGAGATGGTCCAGGCACCAAGGGACTGACGCTGGGGGCGGGGGGGGGGGGTCTGGAAGTGAGTGGCCCTCCCCTTGATGCCCATTCCAGGCTGAAGATCGAGGAACTCACACTGCCAAAGGTGTCACTGAAGCTGCTGCCTGGGTTTGGGGTGCAGCTGAGCCTGCACACCAAGGTGGGCCTGCATGGCTCTGGGTGAGTGTGTCCCTGGGAACCTCTACCCTACTGCTCCCCACCCCAGGCCACTGATCCACCGGGGACCCTACTCTGTTGCCCCCCTCACCCTATCTCACTGACCCCCCATTTCCTCCCACCGTACTTCCTCTCCCTACCGGTCCCTTCCTGGATCCCACCCCACTCCCCTTCCCAGAGACTTCTAGCTCTCTCTCCCTGGACTGCCCTGCCCCATTGCCCAAGGCTCAGACGCGGTGGGGGAAGGGGGTGCAGGAACCCGCAAAATGGGGCAGGGACGCAGTGACAGGAAGGCATGGGGACTAGCCCTCTCGCAGGGCCACCCACCCACTCCTCAGGGCTCCCGCAGCCCCGGGGGCGTGGCCGAGGCGGGCCCTTTTGGGTGGGGCCTGGCAGCCTGGCCACGCCTCCAGCATCCGGTCTCGCAGCCCCCTGGGGGGCCTCCTGCAGCTGGCTGCGGAGGTGAACGTGTCGTCGCGGGTGGCGCTGGGCGTGAGCTCGCGGGGCACGCCCATCCTCGTCCTCAGGCGCTGCAGCACGCTGCTGGGGCACATCAGCCTGCTCTCGGGGTGAGTCCGCAGGTCTCCCGGGAGCGGCCGGCTGGGCGGGGCCTGACCTCCCCGGGCTGCCGGTGGGACCCGCCTGTTCAACCCGCTGCGCAGACCCGCAGACTGAGACCCATCACAGACAGGGACTTCGGCCCAGCCCACAGCTACCATCAGCCACTCTTGGGCGCTCCCCTCCTCCACCCCAGCCACCTCCGCCCCGAGATCGTCTCCCAGACAGAGCAGACCCTGGCCATCTCAGTTCCCCATCTCAGCACATCAGAGACCCAGCTCTGCCCCCGACTCGCTGTGTGACCCCAGAGGAACCCCCTCCTCTGTCTGGGCTCCAGGGTCCCCAGCTGTATAATGAAGACCTAAATTTGATGATCCAGAAGGCTCTGGCACTTTTACATCCGTGTCTTTCCCCAACTGTCCAGGACACAGTGGCCTTCCCTACACTTACGTTGAACCATCACTCCTGTGGGGCAACTGAGGCCCAAAGGGGGCAAGAGACTTGCCGAAGGTCACACACAGATTGCGGCAAGGATGGAGATGGGCTGGCCTCTGGACTCAGATCCAGGGCTTTTCCCCAGGGCTGGGCACCCTCCCCTCCTCTGCCTCACACTTCGCATCTCCCCATCGGTTTCTACACTCCAGGCTGAATCCCACACCCCCAGCCCATCTTTGTTGGGTGGCTCTGAGCAGTGAGGGGTAATCAGAGAGCTCTGTGGTCGCTCCCAGGAATAGGGTGAACCAGCCTTGCTCCTGGCTCTAGAAAGGCTTCCCAGGGTTTCCAGGTGGGGTCTTTGGGCTCCTTAAATCCCAGTGGCTCCACCCTGGTCCTCTGGGCTGGAGAGGGCTTTGGGGGGACTAGAGCCCAGATGGTGTTGGTGTTCTGTGGCTGTGGCTCTGTGGTTGCCACCCCTCCTCCCCAGACTTCCCTAGTCTGCAAACACACCTGAACCCACCGACATGCACTTCTCATCCTCAGGCCTCCCCCTCTTATTCATTCAACAAATATCCCTTCATCCGCCCAACAGATGTTTACTGAACCCCCACTCTAAGCCAGAGACTCTTCTGGACCCAAATGTCACTTGTCTATAAATGTTGGAGGAGATGAAGGGAACAGACATTTATCGAGCATGTATACCAGACATGAATACAGTCCCATGTAATCTCGGCAGCAACAATTCTTTTTTTTTATTTAAATTCAATTAATTAACATATAGTGTATTATTAGTTTCAGAAGTAGAGTTCAGAGATTCATCAGTCACATATAACGCCCAGTGTTCATTCCATCACGTGCCCTCCTTAATGCCCATCAGCCAGTTACCCGATCTGCCCCCCCAGCAACCCTCAGTTTGTTTCCTAGAGTTAAGAGTCTCTTATGGTTTGTCTCCCTCTCTGATTTCATCTTATTTTATTTTTTCCCTCCCTTCCCCTATGATCCTCTGTTTTATTTCTTAAATTCCACATATGAGTGAAATCATATGATAATTGTCTCTCTCTGACTGACCTAGTTTGCTTAACATAATACCCTCTATTTCCATCCACATCGAGCAACAATTCTTTAAGGTGGACATTTTGCAGATGGGGAAACGGAAGTCATCCCCTGGTTTCCACGGCAAGGCAGAGCCAAGATTTAAACCCCACTCCCTCCGCCTGGAGATGGGAGACAGCCAGAGCCCCCAGTGCCCACTCAGCCGTGTCTCCCCAGTTGGAGCTGTGCCTGTGTGGTGGCCACACCCTCACACTTCTCTCCCTGCGCAGGCTGCTACCCGCACCGCTTTTCGGGGTCGTGGAGCAGACCCTCTTCAAGGTGCTGCCGGGACTGGTGAGTGTGTGGGTCCCAGGCCAGGAACGCCCCCTCCCCTTGACTGCACCTCTCCTTCCCCAGCTTTGAGTAAATCTGGGTGCCAGGCAGGATTAGGCTGTTCTTCCCTTGCACGCCCACTGGGTAATCCCATCCTGGCCTGCCCCCGAGCCTCCCGGGTGTCGCCAGCCAGTCTGTAGGTGGCCTGGCACCCTCCATCCCCAGGCTTCCGGATGCTGAGTTGCTAGCTCCAGATGAGCTGAGTCCCTGGCTCCCAAATCCAAGCCCCTTTCTTGCCCCCTGCTCTGTCTTTGCCTCCTGTATGATTATTGACTTTATACTTTTCTTTAAACTAGCTTTGAATTAAAATTGAGTCACCCAGTTTTAAACTGAATTAAAACTGAGCCCTGGGCTTGGCAAACATGTCCAGAAAAGCACATATATATAAATTAACGCATCATAAGTCAAACGCGAAAACCTGAGAAAAGCTGGTCTGCCCAAAGCTGCCTTTCATTGAGGCCAGTAAGGGGACGGTCTTGCTGGGGTCACACAACGAGCAAAGGGTGGCCAGGCCTCCTGACCCCCAGTCCTGGCAGGACCTCTCTTGTGAGTCATTGTGAAGAATACCTGTGGGAGCCCATGGTTGGCAAAACTGCCCTGGGCTTGAAGAAGCCAATTGAAAATGAAGCTCAGGGGGGAAAGGGAAGGTCCCAGCAGCAAGGACCCCAACCCAGGCCCATCTCAGGCAGATTTCAACAACGTGGAGAGGGTACATTTAAATCACGGCCCCTAACTGGGCTCTCCAGGACAACTGAGTGCAAGACAGGATTTGTGTAACTCTAAGAGGTTTTAAAAATTAGGGTCGGTTACTAGCATTTCGAGATTGGATGTTTCTCCTAACGATCCTATTTCTGGCTCCTCTGGTGCAGTCAGCCACCGTAGCCACAGTCCCTCCTTCCTGCAGGTTACACACGCTGGTGCCGAGGAGGAGGTCCCTCCCGCCCAGCAGAGCCCCTTCTGATGTCCTTTCATTTCTGTGACATGCTTGACCCCAGAAGCCCTGGAGTTGGGGGTCCCTGAGTGTAAATGAACAGGTAGCCCTCTCTTGTCTGAGAACAGCTGTGACCTTAGGTAGGTCACCTTTCTTCCATCCCAGCTGCCAAACGAAGGGGCTGAAAGTAGGAAGAGGCTGGACTGGGTCACCTCTGGGCTTCCTGCTCCAGCGGACTCAGATTCTGTGACTCCCAGACCCGAACCACTTCGTGTCTGTCCTCCTCACCCAGGGCTTTTCCGAGCGCATGCGACGCTGTAGTGTGTGCAGTGGACGGGGCCCAGGCCTGACTCTCCGGGTGGAGGAGGGGGGTTGCCCCTCTTCGGTGTCTGAATTCTAGGTTGCCCAGTGCCCACCTGGACAGCAGGAGGGGCCCGAGACCTGGGAGGGGGCAGCTGCCTTTGTCTCCTCAGGGGAGGGCTATGCCCCCACCCCTCAGCTGGCCTCTGAAATGTGCCTCCCCCATTCTCCCGGCCTCCTTCGAGGCTTTCTGAGGGGACCCATGTAACTGGCCCTCTGCGCCCTCTGCTCTGCCCTCTGACACCAAGGTCCAGGTCCCCCCCCCACCCTTGCCTCCCGCCTGTGTGTCCCCCAGTCCGTCTGCACATTCTGACTTGCCTTGGACCCCAGGACCACTGAGCAAATGATTGAGAGAAAAGTGAGCTGTCCCCTGCTCTGCGCTGGGGCCACTTCTATTTTCCTGTAACACCTGTCTCCTCCGGACGCAGCTGTGCCCCATGGTGGACAGTGTGCTGGGCGTGGTGAATGAGCTCCTGGGGACTGCGCTGAGTAAGCTGGGGCCCAACCCCCTCCTCCTTGCCCCTTCTCCCTCCCCCCTCCCATTACCCCAAGGGGGGTGCAGGGTGCTACGGGAAGAGGAAGGAGCAGAATTCTGGGGCCTTCACTTCCTCCTCAGACTGATGAGGTCACCACATGGAGGAGGTCTAATGGTGGGGTTCTGGGCTGAGGCCGGTTCTGCGGGGCCTGGAGGCTTAGAGCCAGCCAGGTCTCCCCCTGCCAGGGGCTGAGGGCCACTTGTCCAGCACTGGGGATGTGTCTGGTGCCGTCAGAAGCATGAGACAGATATTATTATTATCTGGACAGACAAGATGACTGAGGCCCAGAGCTTAAGTCAGCAACCCAAAGCCCCACAGCCACAGTGGCCTCCGGTCTCTCTGAGCCTTATGGAGACATGGATGCCTTTGAAAAACATAGAAAGACATAAACAAGAGAAGGATAGAAAACTTAGGGGTGCATATGTCTCTATATGTGGTGTTAGGTTGAGAGAGGCAGGGCCATCTCGTGGTTAGTGAAAGAAACTAGCTCTGGAAAACAGAAATCCTGGCTTTGCCATTCTGTGGCCTGTGTGACCTTGGGCTGGTGACCTCCTCCGTCTGCGCCTCAGCTTCCTTATCTATAAAATGCAGACGACTGTAGTGCCCAAGTGAATACTCAGTGGAACGCTAAGCACTCAATAAATAGAAGGCGGGCTTGTTGTTATTGGGGGCTGGGTTCATGGGGTCTTTCTCCCTCCTCCCCTCCCCATGTAGGCCTGGTGCCCCTTGGGGCTCTTGGGTCCGTGGAATTTACTCTGGCCATGCTGCCTCTTATCTCTAACCAGTACATAGAGTTGGACATCAACGTGAGTGCCCACCAAGGCCCTGCCCACGGCCGGGGGTGGGGTGGGGTGCTGGCAGAGGCTGGGTAGGGGATGCTGGGTCCAAACGAGGTGGATGAGCCCCGATGTCTCCTCCCCTACAGCCCATCGTGAAAAGCGTAGCTGGTGACGTCATCGACTTCCCCAAGCCCCCCAAACCCATCAAGGTGCCCCCCAAGGAGGACCACACATCCCAGGTTGTTGTGCCTCTATACCTCTTCAGCACCGTATTTGGGCTCCTGCAGACCAACGGTGCCCTTGACATAGACATCACCCGAGAGCTGGTAAGTGTGGCCCCCTGCCCCACTGTGGCCTGACAATGCTAGCCATGAGCTAGTCATATCATCACTGGTCAGCCTTGACTAGCCCTCTTCTCTATAACTAGAGAGGGTTGGACAAGTTTACAGCATGCATATGCCCACTCTTGTCCTTGTGACAGATACCACTAATCGATAATGGCCCTCTACTTGGCTAAATCTGATGGGACCTCTGAATCCTTCTCTACATGGCACTCCAGGAAGTTACTTTCAATTCGTCAAAACTGGCATATGAAATGTAGCTAGTTTTCCGTCCCCATACCATATGAGTCCTTCTGGAGTCAAAGCCCAATTTTATACTAAACACTTGGACGTTTGTTCTAAAGCTTCTGAGACCTCTCTGCTTCCATTCTTGCCCTTCTCATACCCTCACAGATGTCTGGAAGCCCCCCAGGAGCCTCACCCAGAGACATTTTTCTTAATCTCATCCTTTCCACAGGCAGTGAGTCTGAGCCCCCTAGAGCCTCTGCCTGCAACTCAGACCCAAGGCGGCAAGGGTTGATCACTCATTTCCTGATGGTGGGGTCCAGAGAGCACTGTGAAGCCCTATGAGCATGAGAATGTGTGTGTCAGAGCATCGTGTGTGTGTGTGTGTGTGTGTGTGTGTGGCAGGAGAAAGGGACCTCAGTGGCCATGGGGTGATAGCTGTGTGTTGGGTGAGTGTCTGGAAATCCTCTGACCAGGAGAGAATGTGTTTGTATGTTTATCCTGTGTGAACAGGTATGTTCTACAAAGTGGACATGTGCAAACGTCTGGATGGGGCGGCTGGGCCATTATAGATGAAAGCAGGCCTGATGGGACTGTAATGAGCTAGGGGGCCTAGTGTGCCCCATGTCTCTGGCAGCTGCTACTCAGCTTCCCCAAGGGGATGGGGTGCAGGCCCAGTGTGATCAGGTTTTCCAAAGTTTTAGCCAGAGCCTGGCAAATTTATATGAACTTTCTTGATTTGTAAATACTGGAAACAAATTCATAGGTTTTGAGAAAATACCGTTTGGATAAAGGGCAGAAATGTCTGGGATCAGATCCCTGGGCCTTCAGATCATAAGCTCTGGCAGAGTAGTTTAAGAGTCCTGGAGTCAGCCTTCCCAGGTCAGATCCTGCAGCACAACTCGCCAGCTTATGACCTTGAGTGGGAGCATCAGGCTTCCCATCTATAATGTAATGCTGAAATGAGCAAAGGCACACAAAGCCCTTAGTGTGTGACTGGCAAGTGGTAAACACTCATCACTGGCCAAGAAGAGGAACCTGAGAGTCTGTAGGGATGTGTGTGTGTAATTGGCAGGGGTGGGTGGGATGTGGGCAGAACTACTTTGTGTATGCTGAAGAATTCCTGTCCTGTCTCTGTTCACCCCACGCCCCATTTGGGCTTGGGTCCAGGTCCCCAGCAATGTGCCGTTGACAACTACAGACCTGGCGGCTTTGGTCCCTGAGGTGAGTGACCCTCTCATGGGCTTTGATCATTGTCGCTCTTTCCTGATGGGCCTGAGTGAACTCCAGAATCTTTCTCAATACCACTCTCCAGACAGCTGCAATCGAATGTCGAGTCCAAATTCACGCTAAAGTTGAAATGACTACCACTTAAACTTTCCTGACCGCAGATTTTGCTCGGAGAGGAAACGATCATAGTTTAACTGCCCAGAAGTCAACTGGACATTTGTCCTGTGGCTGTTGCCTCCATCAGGCAGAGGACAGGAGATTCTTCCCCTCCGTCCACCTGCCCAACTTCATCTTGGCCTCAGTCTTCTCTGCCCCCAGGGAGAAGATTCTGGGTGCTGGCCCTGAGGAGGGAAGGGAAAGGAGAGGATTCAGGGAGGTTTGACTAGTGGGCATCCATCAGGATGTGACTTCAGGGCCTGGCCTCAGCTTTCCTGACTGTTCAGCTGAGGCTGGACCAGCCACTTTCCAGCTGTGGGAACCTGAATTCATACTGAAGTTGAAATGACTACTACAAGGTCCTTATGTAATAGCAGATGCTGACAGAGGTTGGAATGAGGCCCAGAAGGTCTGGGTTTCTACTGGGCAAGATGGAGGGGGCAGCGGAGTTTGGGGGAGCAGAGGACAAACTGAATCCTTGGAAGGTGGTCATTCACATCAACCCTAGGGGGCATGGCTGGGGCCTCTGCTTCTGGGAGTCCTTGGCCGAAGGGCATAGGGGTCTCAGGCAAAGGAGAAGATGGGGCTAGACATGCAGAGGACCTCCCGAGAGCAGGAGTTGTAAGATGGAGAGGGACTTGGGGGAGGCGGAGGTGGCAGGAGTGGGGAACCCATGCCCACAGAGAGCCGGGCCTTGTCCCTCTAGTGTGAGGGGGCTGAGCCTGTCTCTGGAGGCAGAAGCCTTTGTACTTGCCATGTCAGAGCCCCGTGGCCCCGGCTCTGAGTCTGGTTCCGTGGCTTCAGAATCTGTGGATACATAAGGATGGAATCTGGTGATTCCCTGTCTTTATGACCCTGTGACTCTGGGAGTCGGGGCTGGATGGGTCCCTGGGTTCCAGCATTCAAGTGGTCCTAAGCCTCGGTGACTCTGTGGCTCCCAGCATTTCCATCGTTCCATGATTGTGAATCTTGGAATTTCTTGATTGTGAGTCAGTCAGCGCTACTCACTGAGCTCCTACTATGTCCCAGGCCCTGTGCTAGGTGCTGGGTGTGCAGAAGGAGCCAAAGATGAAAAGCAGACCAAAGCCCCTGTGTTTCAGGAGCTGCCATCCTGGTAGGGGTGACAGACATTGGACACATGAATAAGTAGACTGTACACCCCGTCAGAAGGTGGAAGAAGATGGGGCGGTGAAGGCAGATGAGGAAGGAGGGGGTAGTGCTTTTAGGCAGGGTGCCCTGCCAAGGCCTCACTGAGGAGGTGACATTTGAACAGTAGGCTGAAGGAGCAGAGGGAGGGAAACACATGAATATCTGGGGAAGAAACAGCAAGTGCCAAGGCCCTGAGGTTGGGGGTGTGCCTGGCAGTTTGGAGGAAGAGCAAAGTGGCCAGTGAGTCAGGAGAGAATGTGGGGCCAGCGGTTGGAGGGCAGATGGAGAAGAGAGCCGAGGATGGGTCGTATAGGGCCTGTGGGTCTTGCGGGGGATTTTGACTGTGAGACAAGAGCCTGATTCAGTTCCGTGGGTCGATGTCTCCCCGCTTGAATGTCAGCCTCGTGGCGGGGGGAGCATGAGCAGGACTGTCTGGTTCGGGCTGTAACCTTAGCACCCAGCATGGTGCCCGGTGCCCATTAGGTGCTCAGTGGGTATTTGTTGACTGACTGATTCTATTATTGGAGCGCTGAAGCTGCCCTCCCGCCCCCCTGCCCTGCCCCTGCCTCTCTCCAGGCCCTGGGAAAGTTGCCCCCAGGCCAGCAGCTCCTGCTCTCGATGCGGGTGAAAGAAGCCCCGTCAGTCACACTCCAGAACGGCAAGGCCACCATCTCTATCCCGGCTAACATCCATGTGCTGTCCTACCCCCCTGAAGGGACCCCTGAAGCCCTCTTCGAGCTGAATGCGGTGAGTGGCCGAGGGCCGGGAGCCTGGCACTGGGGCTCTGAGGGGGCCTGCCTTCTCCCAGACCCTGATTTCGGGGCTGTCTCCATCCCCCATTGTCGTCATCTGAGCCAAGGCCGGAAGGCCCCGGGTGCCCGCTCCATCACACGTCTGTCCTGGCCCGGGGCCTGTCTGCTCTGCCTTCCTCAGATCTCGGGAATGCCTCCCCATCTCCTCAGCCTCGCTGTGCTCAGATACGTCTCCGCTGACCCTCCAGCTTCCCCCTGGCCCTCCACCTCTGCTGGTTTTCCCAAAAGCACAGCTGCGAGAGGCAGGTCCCTCCCTGCTCACTCTCTGCCTGGCCCCCCAGGACAAGCACCTTTGCCTGGCACTCAGTGCCCTCCCGCCCCAACCTCTGCCTTTCCCATCCTTTTCCCTCGGCCTCAGTGACTCAGGGCTAGCAGGTCCCACCTGGGCGCCTTTGTTGGTGGCACCCCCCCCGCCGCAGGGCCGTCTCCCCTCCCCCCTTGACTAACTCTTCCTCTCTCGATATTCAGCTCAGGTGTCACCCCACTGGGGACGCCTTTCCTTGCCCTCCTTTAGGCTGGACTGTGGGTCTCTCCAGGCTCCCGGAGCCCCAGAGCTTCCTCTCATGCAACACCCGGTGCCCTCAGTGCTCCGTTTCCTGAACACCAGAGCCTTCAAGTTACCTCTGCATAGCCCGGCGTGAACCCTAGCCCACAGGAGGGCCACAGAAGGGATTAGTGGGGGGAACGGACAGTGGAAATCCACCTGTTGGCCAAAGTGGCCCTGTCCTCCGGCTCTTCCTGCCACATTCATGGCTAACCTCTGCCGGCTCTTTCCATGGCAGGTTTTGACTTTAAATGCCCAGCTGGCTCCCTCGGTTACCAAGCTGCACCTCTCGCTGTCCCTGGAACGGTAACGTGGGGTCCTGGGCCTTGTCTTTAGGAACAAGAACTAGGTAGGGGCCGACTAAAACCACCACCCATTTGCTGAGCGTCGGTCAAGTTGCACGTGTTCTAGCAGCCTCTTCATTGCCTCCAGGACCTGCCAGGGAGGGGTTGGTATTAGCCCATTTTACAGATGGGACAGCCGGGGCTCAGGGCAGCAGGATCCAGAGCAGGCTTCTACCACTGCACCTGCTCCAAACCTGGCCCTGGGAGATAAACATGCAGCGCGGACACGGAGTCCGAACGTCTGCGTTACCAGCCCCAGAGACTAGCCACGGAGATAACTGTAAAATGCTTTGTTATTCATGTGGACTAGTTACTTCTCTAATCTCTCCACCCCCGAGGTAACTAGGTCCCATGATAACCATAAAAACTAAGATGGTGAGGTTGGTGACAGTCCTTCCTGACACACGTATGGCACTTCACAGCCAGCAAAGACCAGGCTCACGCAGCGGGCTGTCCCTGGAAGCCTGGCTGCGGTCTGGGCCTCCACTCTGCAGGCCCAGTGCTGTCACCATGGCCTGAGGCCTGGGGACCTGCCTGTCCCTCCCCTAGGTGCGGGGGGCTTTCCCAGGGGTCTCTGGGATCTGCCCGTCCAGAGCCGTAGGCCCCCAGTGCTCACCTGACCCTGTATTCGTGTGCTCCGCAGGCCCTCAGGCTGCTGCCTCCCCCCTGCAAGGCTCCATTGTCGCCCCATTTCTAACCTTGCCCCCCTGCCTAGGTTTGCTTCCCCTCCCTGGTGGCAGTCCCTGCCTCAGCCCTTCAGGAAATAGAGGTGTGTGTCCAGGCTCTGGCCCTGGACCTGTATTTGGGCCAGCTGGGATCCATCTTTAGTGCTGTCTTTAGTGCTCGCCTGCTGGATGCCGGGAACCCTGAGTCCAGGGCTTAGTCTCTGGGAGGGCCACTCCTTAGGGAGGCTCGGCCACTTGCCCAGGGGGGACCAAGACTCCAGGGCCGTAGTCAGAGGGGGCAGTCATGATATATCAGAAGGTTAGATCCATTCAGGTCCATTTTACAGGTGGGAAAACTGAGTCCCTGAGTCGAGGTGACTAGAGGCAGAGTTGGGGCTGTAACCCTGTTTCCTGATCCTGGGAGTGGGGTGGGCAGAGCGGTGCTCAGCAGGTGGTGTGGTGGGTGCTGCGGCCCCTCAGTATCTCTCTTCTCTCCACCAGGCTCAGTGTCAAGCTGGCCTCCTCCTTTGCCCACGCCTTTGATGTAAGTTCCTGGGAGGGTAAGCAGCTTGCCAGTGGTGAGGGTCTTCAAATGGGGGGTGGAAAGGGGCAGGATGAGTCATAGGTCATATGCCTGAGCTGACCCCAGTCTGGGCTCTGCCCCAACAAGCCAGAGTGGGCAAACATCAGAGCAAGTGTGCATGTGTGTATATGTATGTGTAAAATAGTCATCGTCTTAGGAAAGTGAATCTCATGATCTTCCAAAGTCTTGGAACCTTACAAAGTTGTAAACATCCAGAATCTCACAAGGACTCAAAATTCTAGAACTTCACACAGTAATAATGTTCCTGAACTCAGAAAGTTTTAACATTTCAGAGCCTCACAGAGCCCTTGGTGTCCTGCTTCTCAGAGTTCGGAGGTTCTGGAGTCCCACAATGGTCTCAGGTTCTAGAACATTCTAAGGGTCCCTAAATGGATAGGAATCTAAGAGCAGACCTCTCAAAGTTCTACTGGAGCTGGGCATGTTTTCTGCTCTTTCTCAGGCACTGTCCCTTCCAGGCCCCACAGACCCTTCCTCTAGGAAGGCAGTTCTTCCAAGCTCACGCAGCCTGCGTGAAGCTGTTCTAAATCACAGAGTCCCCTTTGCGGTCATTGATGGACAGCCACCCCAGTGGGCCCTGTGCCCACAGGAATGTGTCCTCAGGCTTGGGGGAGGCTCAGCAGCTGGACCTCTGGATTCCCTGCCGGGGAAGGGATGAGCTGCTCCTGGCGAAGCCACACCTCCCAGTTTTCCCTGTGCTCTGTTGCAGGCATCCCGTTTAGAAGAATGGCTCAGTGATGTGGTCCGGGTGGCCTATGTGCCGAAGCTCAATGGTATGGGCGGACTTTGCTCTCCTCTTGGAAACATGGAATGTCTGAAATCAGATTGTCCATTGTTCTGATAGAGATACTGAGGTTGGAGGGGTTGATCCCCATTTTTAAGATGTAGAAACTGAGGCACCGATGTTTCCATTCAAACTACATTAATTAGCACCTCCATCACACCAAACCCTGGGCCCTGAAAGCTGTCTGACCAGTGTCCTGTCCTCAAGCTCACAATCCAGAGGGAAATAGTCATATAAACAAATAATTAAAATTTAGATGACTCAGAGTGTGCAAGGGACTGACAGAACCTCGCACTGATAGAACCTGAGGGGAGCCACTGATGACAATACAGAAAAGGAGCATTTTTGTTTGGGTTTAGTAGGATGAGTAGGAGTCTGCCAATCAGGAAAACTGAGTCCCCAAGAACAGAAACGGCTGGCTCCAGGAAACTTGTCCCAGCCCCCAACATACCTTGGCTCTCAACCATTTCCTCCTCACAGTGGACCTGGATGTTGGAATTCCCTTGCCTAAGGTCCTCAATGTCAATTTTGCCAACGCAGCCCTGGAGATCATCGAGGTAAGCTTCCCACGCAGGTGTGGCTTTGATGGGCCTTAAGCTCGAGCTGAGGGGAATGCCCTGCCTCACCATCTGGTCTGTCCCTGCACCGTTTTCTAAGTTGCTCAGGGCATTACAAGTTATTTCACCTGGGAATGTCAAACATATGACATGTGCTACAACTCCTTCCTCACTCGCCCACAGCAGACATTGTCAGTCGATCACAGAGTCCTCTCCTGTTGAATGCAGACACGCATCTGACCTATTGGATGGAATTTGAGATTCACTCACAGAGTCACAGCTCCCCTGGCTCAGGCTAGCAAATATCCTGTGCCTGTGGCAGGCATGGCTAATAGTTCATGACATTTTTTCTTGCTGAACATCAACATGGCCTCACGATCCTTTTCAATCCAGCACCACTTTAAGTCTTGGAATGACTCTGGGAGGTGGGCAGAGCAGGGAATTATGGATCCATTTATCAGGTGAGGATCAGGGATGAAGGAGGTCAAATTTCTGGCCCAAGGCCGCTTAATAAATTAACAGGAGAAATGGTGCTTGAACTTGGGTCTCTTGACTTAAGTTCGGAAGTCAGTGACCTCTCCCACACTGGATGTCATTCATTCATCATTCACTCACTTGTTCATTCATTCAGTTAGCAAGTGCCTGCTGGGTTCCAGGTCTGGTGCTAACCCCAGGGCACGGGGCCAGGGGTGAGGGGAGGATTAGGGCACAACATGGAGACAGCACCAGGGGTGGAGGGCGTGGCAGATGGGCTAACCGAGAACCGTTGCTCTTTGCAGAATGCCGTTGTGCTGACCGTGGCATCCTGAAGCTGAGAATGGCCACCTGCCCTCCCTGTTGACTTCCAGAGTCTGTGCCCCTGCCCCTCGGCCTCGATTTCCCTCCCAGCCTCTAGCCTGTGTCAGTGACAGTGTTAGTGTCCCTTATGCACTCAGGACCACCCAGGTGCTCTAGCCCTGCAGCTCTGCCCCCAGTCTCGGGTGGGGACTGCAGGGCTAGGCACAGGACTCCTTTTCGAAGAGCAGTGGAAAGTTCCGAGCTTTCAATAAACCACTCCTCTCTCTTGGCACCTCCCAGCTGGTTTGTTCCTCAGGTACATGGGGGCTGCCTCGGCCTCTGTTTCTGGGACCCTCGCCAGCTCCAGGCCGGGGCTCCTGGAGGGTAAAGGACTTGGGGGCCTAGTCCTTGTAGCTTTGCCTCCCAAACTTACCTGGTTGGCCTGGGAAGCTTCTGTGTCTTGTCCTGCCTTCCTTCACCTCTGCCTCAGGCTCCTCATGCCCCCCTCCCCTGGCCCCTACCCCCTTCCCATATCTATTTTTCTAAGTACCCGCATCTTTTGCTCTGTCTCTCTGAGTCTGTCTGATTCCGTGTCTGTCTCTGTCTCTCCGAGTCTGTCTGATTCCGTGTCTGTCTCTGTCTCTCCGAGTCTGTCTGATTCCGTGTCTGTCTCTGTCTCTCCGAGTCTGTCTGATTCCGTGTCTGTCTCTGTCTCTCCGAGTCTGTCTGATTCCGTGTCTGGCTCTGTCTCTCCGAGTCTGTCTGATTCTGTGTCTGGCTCTGTCTCTCTGACTTTGGGACACGTCTCAGAAATGATGTGTGAGCAGAAGGGTGAATAGGAGTTTTTCAGGGAGAAAGGAGCCAGCATTCCCGGAAGCAAGGATGACCTGGTCCTGCCCCGGAGGGATCCCTACTGGCTGCACACCGGTGGTGGATTTACCACAGGATAGGCCTCAGAACAAACTACACCAAATGCTCATAGTGTGGATGGGGAAACTGAGGCCAGAGAGGGGCCTGGCTGGCCCAAGACCGCACCACAGCAGAGTTAGGCTGGGGAACGGGGGCGGGGGGGGGCGTTCCCGCTCCAGTCCTGGGCTCCTCCCCACTGCTCAGGATGGGCCTCCTGGGTTCTGGGGAATGGCCCCAAGTTGGCACTTATGCATGCACTTGAGGAAAGAGGTGCCAATGAAGTTTTGGGGAGTGGCTCAGGATTTGGGGAGACAGAGAGAGTTGGAGCCCATCTGAAGGTTTGTGCATTAATAGGAATGACCCTGTGACCACCCACCCACCCATCCAGCCTCCCAGCCTCCTGCCTTTCCTTCCTTCCTCTCTCCTTCCCCATCCCATCCACTCACCCCAGAGGTATCGGCCCCTGTTGGCTTGTACGCCAAGCCCGGTGCTAAGTGACATGTTGGGACTTATCTTTGACTCTTTTCTCACTTCCCTTGTCTCCTGACTCCCACCCAGAACAGGGTAATAGTTAAATGAGGGACCCAAGTTAGCTGTCTGTGTTCAAATCCATCCCAACTGCACATTAGCCATGTGGCTCTGGGCAAATCATTCAATCCCTCTGACTCTTGATCTCTTCATCAGTAACTTGCGGGTGATAGTAATGAGGTTTTGCGGGTTACCCAGCACTTAGGATGGTGAGCTCATGTTACTGCTACATGGCTCTGCCTTCTCAGCAGCCTTCCTCTACTCCTCCCTCCCCTCTCCCACCCCAGCCTCCTCCAGCCCTTCCTTGACCTCATGTGGCCATCTCAGTACCACTGACAGCCCTCCATTGTCTGGATTCTCACGGCCAACAGGAAGTCATCCAAAATCCCAGCTTGGCATTCAAGGCTGCCCATGACCTGGCCTCAGCCGATTCCTCTGGGAGCATGGAGAAGGAGCAGAGTGGTCTCTGTGCCTCAGGCTCCTCATCTGTGAAATGGGAACACTCTAGGACTCACTCATAGGTCATTTGAGGATTAAATGAGAAAATCATTATGAAGTACAGAAAAAAGTGCCTGGTATGTGGTAGATGCGTGTGCTGTGTACCCAGGGCCTCACATGGCGCTTCCCTCTTCCTGGAGCATCGCCCCTCACCCAAGTGTGCCTGACAAACTCTTGCCAGCCCTCCATACTCAGGGCACCTGCAATCTTCAGCCGCACCGTGCTATGGGCAGGGTCCATTATCATGCCCACCACACCGGGTTGTTGCTCCTCAGTCCAATTTTCCCACTCGACCAAGAGCGCTGCAAAGTCAGGGATGGTATTGCTTCATCACAGTGAGTCCTGTGGCTTCATGGGGTAGCCGTGAGAGCAGCTTATCTCCACTGAGCAGCTTATCTCCAAGATACTGAGCACAGGCCTGGTTTGCCCAGGGCAACACCATCTCCCAAAAGAGTCACAGTGGCGTATATCAGTCTTGGCATTACATGCTTAATACCTCTTACCTCAGTCAATTTCCACAGCGACCATAATCAGTGGATGTGATGGCTTTAGTTTACAGAGGAGGAAACAGGCTCAGAGAAATGGAACTGGCCAGCCCCTAAGTGATAGAGCCAGGATTTGAACCAGATCCTTCTGACTCTAGTTCCAAAGCCTGGGCTTTTCCCTGTGATGCTATAAAATACTTGCTGCATTTATTGTTTCCTGTTCCAAGTGCTTTAGGTACATTATGTTTTCGACTACTTGAATCAACCCTGCTTTCTAGGAGCTGTTTTTACCCTCAATCCGGAGTTGAGGACCCTGAGGCACAGAGAGGTTAAGTGACTGGCCCCTGGCCACACAGCTGGGAAGTGACAAGGCCAGGATTTGAACCGGGCTCCCTGACTCCAGAGCCCAGGCTCTGAACCTCTGCACTTAGACCAGGGGGATGAAATACGATGTGTAGAGAGTCCCTCCATGGGCAGCCCCCTTGCAGCCCTGGCAGCTGACAGCTCATGAGAGAGACTGGGCTGAAGGAGGGGGCGGTAATGGGACTGGTTCTGTTTCCTGGTCCTTCAGCTCCTGCCTGAGCCCCCCCACATGGCCCCCTGCACGACTGAGTCACCTTTGGGTGAGTCCGTCACCTCCCAGGGCCTGGTTGCTTCAGCCTCAGACAAAGGTGCCTTTTGGACACTAATCCCAGGTGATCTCCCTGGCGCCAAAGTAGTGCTAATCCTCTTGGGGCCCCAGGGGACAGGCCAGCCTCATGGCCACCAGGGTCTGGCTGGTCTCTGGACCGGGGAGGGCATGGAGCCTCAGGTGACGGACAATAGCCAACTGCCTTCCCGTGTGCGCTGCCCTCTAGTTCCCAGTGCGCATTGGTCGCTGCGGGGACCTGGGCGTTGGGGGTTGGGGGGGGCACAGAGCACCACTGCCCTCTTGCATTCTATTTCAATTTTAAAAGGGAATATATTGGTTTAACAATCTCTGAGTCTGTCTGATTCCGTGACTGCCCTCTTGCATTCTATTTCAATTTTAAAAGGGAATATATTGGTTTAACAAGGATTTATATCACACTCAGTGCCAGACAATGGGGAGCCAAAAAGGGGGCTGCTGTGTACTGAGCCCGCACGAGTCTCCAGGCGCATTCCAGATGTCTCCTCTGTAATCCTCCAAACCCAGCTAGGGCAGTGCATTTATGCCTGTTTCTCCGATGGCCAGACTGAGGGCCTGGAGAGGGGCTTGTGTGGGGTGGAGAGAGCAGATAAGACATGGGGGGAACGCAGGTATGTGTGTTTCTCGGGGTCCCTGCCCTAGAGCCACAAATGATCAGGTAGCCCAGGGCTGGGGCTAAAGCCCCTCCTCACACCATTCATGGATTGCTCAGATTTGTTGCCGTGTGGAACCAGCAGGGACCCAGATGATGGGGATAAAAATGCCACCTGCTAAGTACCTCCCATGTGATTAAGTCCCTCAATCCTCACAACACCCTTTTGAGGCGGACCCATTCCGGTCACCATCTCAAACCCGAAGAAACGAGGCTCAGAGAGCAATGGCAGCAGAATTCAAATCCAGCATCCAGCTCCAAAGCCTGTTCAGTGATGCACCCACTGCTGATGAGGAAACTGAGTCCCTGAGTGGGGCAGGCCCCAGGGGCCAGTGACGACAGAGAGCTTGGCAGAACTCGATGCCCCCACTGCCTCCAGGGAGGGAGGAGGAAGCAATCTCCTCGCAGAATTCAGGGAAACACATTTATTCTCAGCCTGATTTGAGAGCAGATCTTGACGGGGAGATAGAAATGCCCCCTCACCCCCCGAGGAGTTCTCAGGAGGACCTGGTGGGGGCAGGGAGGGGGTGGCATCAATGAAACATGGAGGCAGGACCACGATGGGGGCTGGGGGTGGGTGGGAAGCAGGGACTGGGAGAACTCCTCACTCAGTGGGGAGTGAGAGCTCACGTTCATTCATTCCCTACAGGGGCAGGGTCTTGGAGGGGCAGTGGCCGCCTCTGAGGCATTGACTGGGAAGGGGCAGGAGGCAACATTCTGGGGTGCTGGAAATGTTCTATACTGAGATAGGGGTGTGGGCTACAGGGTTGTATAAAATTGTCAAAATTCAACAAATAAACACTTGAGATCGGTGCATTTCACTGTAGGTAAACTTTACATCCACAGAAAAGAGTCACAATGGCGTGCATATTGAAGTGTTCAGAAGGAAATGTACTGTTCCCTGCAGTTTACTTTGAAATACATTTTTCTAAAAAGACAGATTCTTGGATGCGTGGGTCGATATGTGATGGAGCAGGAAGAACAGCGTGCTAATGGGTGGAAGGTGACAAGTATATGGGTCTTTAGGGTACAATTCTTTCAACTTTGCTGTATGTGTGAATATTTCATAATGAAAGATTGGGAGAAAATCTTCTGCAGGTCAAAAGAAGCCCACCTACTTGTTCTCATCACACCAGCCCCAAGTTTGAAGAGTCAGACCTATATGCATCTCCCTGAATCTTCCAATCAGTCCCGGGAGGCAGGCATTATACCCATTTAACAGATGGAAATGATGAGAGGCACAGAGAAGGGAAATGGCTGGCCCAAGGTCATGCAGTGAGTTGGGGCTTGAGCCTGAGTTTGAACCTGAGTCAG